ACAACCCTCTCCTTCTCTGGGACCTTTCAGAGGTTCTCAGAGAAATCTACAGCCATTCCTTGTTAAAATCTGCTGCGCTACGGCCACAGCTTATTGCATGTTCTAGCTCCCAAGCCTGGCCATACTTCTCATCCTTATACTCGTATCCCCCTGATGATCCTCACCCTGGGTATCAGCTGTAAGCCGAGGGGCAGGCACCCCGTCGCGGGTTAGTGCAGTGCGGGACCCCAGCTGCGACTCGGGGTGCTGCCAAGTGCTCCTTCAACACAATTAACGAGGCGGCCCGGATCAAGAGACACAGAAGACAAAAGGTTTCCAGCAAGTGAGAAAAACTCTTAAGCGCAAGAAGGGAAGGCTCTCCCCACGCTGAACGTGCTCAGTGTCACAGCCCAGCAGGGCAAGCGGGCTGGGAAAGCCAGCCGTCTTTCAGACAAAAGTGTAAAAAAGAAGCGGGAGGAGAAAAAAGGGAAGACAAGGTCAAGCAGAGGGAGGCAGGCTCCAGACAAACCCTCCCCTCCCCAGAGAAAAGCACCTCAGCGGACACCGCTGTGGAGTCTGCACAAGATGCTGCTCAGTGGGTGAGAGGGTCAAGTTAAAATACAAAGCCACGTTTACACGCTCCCACGAGTTCCTTAACTGCAGCTGAGAATTTAACGATATGCTTTGCATTGGACTTGTTTGATTGCACATGTTTTCCACCAATTTACAGGTCCGGTTTCTGCTCCTACTCTGATTTTTAATCATCACTGAGACAAAACACTAATATTCAGATAGCGCCTTGCTAAGAAATCTTGAGTAACTGGAAGTTATATTAACAATATTTAAATACAGTCCATGTCTATTTAAAGGTTTGAATGCATCTCGTTAGAACACTGCATAAATTAACCCAACCTAATTCTCCAGGATGCATCAAGACCTAAAAAGCCCCAAGTTTGATGTTCTCTCTTACCACCCACTTAAAAAACCCCAAACCAACACACTGGGGGTTAGCTTAGGTAACAAATATGGTAACAAAATCAACATTCAACCGAATAAATGCAATTTACACCCTGATGCAGTGAAGATCATGCCATCACCAGTTCAAAGCCAAAACAAGAGGCTCTCTCCCATCCCCTCCATGCACGCCCCCCCGCCCCTAACTGTGCGGGTACCCGTGCCCCGGCGCCGCCTGCCCGCTGGGGATCCTGCACCGCTCCCTCCATCCCTCCCCACCGCCTGAAACCATCCCCCGGACGGAGCGAAGCGCGCGCTGCTGCCGCCGGGCTCCCCGTCCCCACCGCCCCGCTCGCGCTGGCGGCCAGACAAAGCAAACTCCGGTTGCATCACGGAGCAAACTCATTTTCCAGCAACCTCCCAGCCCGGAGTTTACCGCTACTGTAATCCGGTGCTGTCAACAACGCCGCCTTTGTTGCGCTCCCGTGTGCGCGGCTTGCTCGTTGGTTCTTGTTTGGTTTTTTTGTTTGTTTGGTTTTTGGTTTTTTCTTTTTTTTTTTTTTATTATTATTATTATTATTATTATTATTATTATTTATTTTAAAGAGAATTTTTGTTTTAAATGAGTAATCTGTTTTTGAGTGATTTCTCCTCCGCGCTGGCTCCACCCTGTACTGTAAACGAGACATTACCTTATACAAGAATGAATCTGCTGCATTCCTCTGTCTAGCTGCCTCGCAGCACATTTCCTACGCTCGCAGCAGCCCCGGCAGCGCACGCTCTCCCACCCCTTCCCCCCCCCACCTTTTTTTTCTTTTTTCTTTCTTTTTTTTTTTTTTTTTTTTTTTTTTTCCTTTTCACTGCCTCGCTGTGTTTTTGTGTAAATGATCTCACATGACTCAACAAATCCATCTGCCTGGAGCAGGCCAAGTTTGGAGCCTTCCCAGGAGGGAGGAGAAGAATTGCTTTGTGGAAAGGACCTGGAGCTTTGCCCTTTCTCTGGCTCAAATTACCCGCCTGTCAGGCCTGACGGATTTGGCTAAAAATAAAAGGAAGCGGGCCGTGAAAAGGAGATGAATGAGCTCAGCAGTTCCTTAGATAACATGGGCCTGGTGTCGCCCAAAGATCCCAGAGCAGGAACTTCAGATGCCGGGCATGTAAGTGCGGTGCTGCAGTCTTGGTGAACTTGGCTGCTCGGGGCCAAAAAAATAAAGGCACAAAAAAGGGCAAAACCAACCATATGCTGTTGGAAATAAATGGATTAAAGACACGCAGAAGGGGAAAAATGCCTGCTGTAGGTTTTGGGCTTGTACAAGGGGAGATTTACGGTGTTTTCAGTGGGGAAAGGGGGCGTGGGGAGGTGTGGCGGGGGGATGCACGTGATGTCAGGCTCCTGCCCTGCCCGGGGAGCCTCAGCATCCTCCCTGCAAATGCCTGCCCAGAGCCTGCAGCGGGTATTAAGCACTTAGTTTGGCAATGTAATGACACACTGCAACAATCTGTAATGCGAGGCAGTCAGCAAAGCCCTGGCTCGCGAAGCTCTTTCTCCTAACCATTAACCATATGTTTGGCTCCGCCGCCACCCGAGCGAGCGGGTGTTCCAGCGCACCATCTGGTTTCTATCCACACAAGCAACTGCAAAGCACAGAGTATTTCCCTCTGGAGCCGTGTCTTCCTCTCCGGCTCCCCCTCCCCGCCCGGCCCCCCACTCCTCCGCTCCCCATCTTCCTCCTTCGCCCCCTTTCAGCGGCGGCCTCGCCTCCCCGCCGCGATGCTCCAAGCACTGGGGACCGCAGCCGCCCCACCGCGGGTGTGGCAGAAGAGCCGGGATGCTGTGCCGTGCCAAACCCACCCCCCACCCCCCCCAACTGAGCTCGTACCCCTGCACACACACACCCCCCCCCCCCAACTCCCCACACACGCACAGCGAGATCGCAACCCTCGTCACCGACGCTTGGGGTACCACGTTAAAAACCAGGCACATTCTGGACCAGTCCAGGAGCCGCCGCAGTGCCCATCGCATCTCGCACACGCGCGCACAGGGAGTGTTCAATTTGGATTACATCAACTCCGTGCCGACGCTGCAGAAGGACTTCAAGAATGAACCTAACAACAGGACGGCAACTAGCAGTGTTATCTGCTGCCCCCAAACCGGGCTTTCTAGGCACATGGGGCGTTGGTTCCCCATCCCATCAAATTAAGATGATTCTGGAGGGAAACAGGAAAACAAAAAAAAGGAGAAAACGAGAAGAAGAAAAAGGAATAGAATAAGAGCGCTGAAGAAAAAGGAATGAAAATATTTACTCTTCCTGTGATAACTAAAAAACCTCTCTCTGAAACTACAAAAAAAAGCTTTCAAGTGTTAGATTTTAGAAGACCTTGTACCGTATGTTTGCTTTATGATTTTATGAATTCTAACTACTCTTTATGTTTCTAATGCACTTCCATCCTTCTGTCTATTTCTGAAATCACCTATGGCAGATCAGAAATAATTTTCCTCTCAGGTTGGCCATTATAAGATTAATCATGACCTAATGCAAGTATTCAGGGATGCAAGCAATAGGATATTCAGCAAATCCCACACTTGCTCCTTTAAAATAAGTTTATACTCTGCAATGAGTCACACATACAGTGTTTATCCAAGTTACCAGTGCTACAAGAAGAAAAAGCCCATTACATTTGCAAATACATACAAATCGCAGCTGTAAGCACCCAACTGCTTACACCAGGACTCGTTTCTATGACTGGATATTGATTTTTTAATAATGTGTCATTATACCAATGTTGATACAGCAACTATCTTCCCAGAGTATGCAATTTAATACTAAAAAGAATCTGGCTCTAGGAAATATCAAATCCACGCCCATTCACATGCTATTTAAACATCCTTCTTGGTCATGACTAGCAATGCAAAGCCACAACCGTGTTTTTCCCACCTAGCACCTAACAAAGAAAATGCAAAGGACTCGCCAGTTAAAAACAGATCGGTCTAAGGCAACTAGCTCTGCTGATCTGCTTCTCAACAAAATACTGCGGAACCTCTCCAGTCGGCACTGGAAACCAAGAGGCCACGTTGAAAAAGGTGTCTGTTTTTTGTATCTCCTCACACGTGTGAGAAACCAGTGCACAAAAAAGCATGGTGTAGGCCCTTATCCTGGAATCAAATACGCGTGGGGAAAACCCGTATGCTTGTGAAAAGCCTGATGACTTCACTGGGATTGCCTAAGAAATTTGAGGGTAGAATCTGGCCCCAATTATGAACGTGGAGTGCAATTAGCACTGTAAACTCCCCCCCTTCATCTTTCACTCCCCCTCAGTGAAGGAAATAATTAAAATGATTAAAAACATAAGAGATGCATTTTAGCTAACAACTTACATTTGCTACAAAATAGGATCTAAATATGTTGAAGTCCATTATTTTAAGATAAGACTGTTGCAAACATATTAGTAGCATGCTTAAACATCACACATTAGGTTTCCTACAACCATGCAACAAGCAATTGTCTTCATTCACACACAGAAAACAACCAGTGACAGTCTTCTAAAGCAGTAAAGGTTTAGGTCTGGGTCTTTTAGCAGATAATGATCTGCTCTGATCCAGAAATCTTTTAAAATGGGGAATTCAAGGGAAATATTCATAGATTCGGAGTTGTGCTGTCTGAAGGGACAGCTAATCATTTGACCTTCTTCCATAAAAGAGGCACGGAGCTTCCCCACCCACATTGATGCAGCTGTAAGAGGCTGAATTAGAGAATCTCTTGGGGTAAAAAAAGACAAAACAAAACAAAAACAAAACAAAACAAAAAGAACAGCCCCAGATTCAACAGCCTGACATAAGGAAGGAAGCTACTGCAGCCCCAGCAACGTTGTCCTACTCAGCAATCACCCGTGCTGCGGGAACACTCATACCCTCTCGCCTGGTCTGAATTAATTTAACAGCCAGCCACTGTGTCTTGTTATATACCTTGTCACCTTCCTCTACTCCTCAATCCCTGACAAAGGGCCACTGTCAACCTGAAACCCAGACAGTTTTTAATGCATAATAAAAAGCGGTGTCACATTATTACCTGAATCCACCAAGTCCTCCTGCCAACAATGATGTTTACGCAATCACATTTTTCTGTTTTTAAAAACTTCTCTCTTGCCTCATCGCTCTGTGTGAAAAACAACACAAAAGAGAGAATTTATTAACTGCACACAATTATCTATTATTTGCATTACAGCAGTTGGCTTTCCCAGCAGATTTTTAGGTCTTTTGTTTTCTGCCATGTGTCACAAAGATATTAAGCAAGAAAAAGTCCTTTCCCCAGAATTGCTCATTGACCAAACAAAAGCAACAGAAACAATCTGGAGGGGTGGCCAAGGTACCACAGCCCCTGTAGAGCTCCACAGGAGAATGCACCTCTCCTGTGCCCAAATCCTCTGCCCTCTGCCCGGGGCATCCTGCCTGGCAGCATGAGGACCAATGCCAGGCAGACACTCAGTGCCACCACAAGCAGAAATACGGGGGAAGAGAGAGCTGCTTAAGTTTCTTTCAGTTTCAACAGTAAATACGTACCACTAATAACTGCAGCAGCGATGTAAAAATAATACTTACAAAATTACATTGACAGTAAATTACTTAATTGTACAGTTTCCCTGAACTTTGCACCTACAACATCATTTAAGTAGTGACTCTGCTTAAAATTCTCGAAAGGGTCTTTTAGTGTCTCTGTTTGCTCCTCACTTCACATATTAGTAGCTTTAAGCTTCAGTGTCAAATTCTCCTGCCAATATACCAATGAACCAAAATGTACCTCATGTAAGAAATTTCCACACTTAAATAAGGAAGAAAAAAGCCCATACGGTAGAAACCCAACTGAAGATACAACCTCAAAAAACCCCACTAGCCTCTCTGAATGGCCAGAAGACATACCATAAATAAACAAAAAATGCAACTGGATTTTCAGTACTGGAAATGCCATTAACGTTGGCATTTCGTTGATTTTTCTGAAAGCAAACAAAACAAGCCCCTTCCCTTAAGGAGATGCAACTCAACCATCTGTACGTGATCCCTTGCCTACCTCCACAAGTGCATACAAATTAAACGTGGCCACGCAGCAAGGGTGGGGGATATAGCTGTGATACCCACCCTGCGATGTCAGGGCTGGGGCATTTGGCATATTCTGTCCATCATCAACATGGATGTCTGCCAGAAAGTTTTGTTGCAAGGTTTCGGTCACAGTGGTGATTGAGCCATTCCTGAAAAAGGGGCTGGAAAGACTCACCGAATTCTGGCAAACTCAACAAATTCTGGCAATCTCTGGAACAGAGGGTTTAAACCTGGGGCAAAGCAAAGAGCACACTCTAGGCCAGGGCTGAGGAGAGAGGTGGCCTTTGCCTCTGGCGTCTGCTCCCGACCGGGCAGGGATCAACCCTGTGCCCTGCTCCAGGTGTCCTCCCTGCCGCAGTCCCGGCAGCCTGGAGCCACCTACACTCAACACAGAGCAGCCAAGAGCTGGGTCAGGGGACAGCAGGGAAAAAATACATCAAAAAAACAAATTTCACTTAACAGGGAACGGAAAACTGAAGGAGGTAGGATGGGGAAAGAGCAACAACCTGGTTAGGCACGGAGGGCTGCATGGCGGCCGTGCGGCCACGACTGTGTTCGAGCCTCTATGACACCGGTGGATGCTGTCTGTTATTTGTTTGCCTCCCGCCTTTTTTCTTTGGTGTACCAAAGCTATGTTGCAAAAGAGAGCACTGATGAGTCGAGGCACGAATGGGGAGGGAGATGTGGCGGCTCCCCTTGCCCTCTCCCGCCGCGCCCGGCACACGCGACGTACCTGAGCCGCGCATGGGGGCTGTGAGACGAGAGCGAAGGACAACTCTGGCCATGGCTGGCAGCAAGGGCAGACGACAGCCAGCCCCCTGCTCCCTGCCACCCCTTTTCAGTGCTCAGGCAGATGAGCTGTGCCTTGGAGAGCTGCCACGCAGCTCCGATGCAGCGCCGCTCCAGCCATTTAAACCCAGCATCTCCCAAGCGGCCATTAATGGCGAGTTCCTAACCAACCTGAAACCCTGGCTTCTCTCAAGCAAAACTAATGAACACTCGCAGCAAAAGGGAAACATATTTCCAGTACATAAAATACTACATAGTATGGAGACATCTCAGCGGCAAGGCTCTGAGATCCTCAAGATCTTTTGTCCTCTTGTTTTAACTCTCTTCCCGTAAAGAAGTGGCAACGCTTCCCAAATATTTGCCAAAACCTCAAGCCTGACACTGATAAACAGAATAAGCTCACAAGGAAACGACAAGCTTCTTCAGTAGGACTTGAGTAGTGCACCATAAAAAAAAGCTGGGTGCCAAACATGGAACAGCCGGGAAAAAACAAGATGCTGAATAAGGCGTTTGCCCAGGGCTTGCAGCTACAGCTGTACGCTCGGCACTAGGCAGGGGACTTGCAGAAAGAGAAGAGTGTGATCACATAATCAAAAACTGTCCAGGCATTCAAAAGACTTAAAATTAGTCCTGCACAAATCCTTTTTATATCTCACCAAGTCGCACTCTGACCTTAGTTGTAATACTGTAATGTATTTGTGTATGAAAATAAAGATAACAGCAAATAGCTGAAACAGCCCTATGTACTATGCTGCCTTACGCATCCATAGTGTATAACAGAGCAGAGGTCTACAGTCAACCAAATGCACAATGCAGGAAGACAGGCTTTAAAGGTAAATAATTCAGGGCTTGAATTCTATAAGGTAAATAATTTAGGGCTCTAATGAACTCGCAGACTGTAAATAGGGAGTTCCACTGCTACGAACCCTCCAAACTGCCCTACATCCAATCCTCAGGAGTGCAGAGGAGAAAACTGTCAGCAAAATCACGCCTCAAATATTCCTGGCTACCGCAACACGGACTCTGTCTAACACAAAAGGAGTCTCGGATAGGAAAAGGCAGCTTCACAGACTGGTTCCAGTGCTCCGTACTGTGCCCGTGAACTCCTGAAGAAGAGGCGCAATTTCAGAAACATCACTTGGGCAAGCAGTGAGGTGGTCTGTGAAGCGAGGCAGTTGACCTATATTGTGTCCCACGGAAGCATCAGAAAATCCCTCCAAGGATAGCCAACACAGCAGTCTGGTCCGGAGGTGCTAAAACTACATGTGACTATGGGTGAGGCTGCAAGCTCTTTGATGAATAAGACAGCCTGTAAATGAAAAAGAGCCAGACAAACCCCTGACTCCTTACTTCATGATCTCTCTTTCCTATCCTCTCACAAAATCGGCTATGGTCAAACGCTTTTATCAACACCTGGGAATTCCTGTGCATCCATCAAAAAGCATCTCAGCCAGACAAAATCCATCAACAAACCACAGTATCAATCCTCGTCAAGTCTTAAATGACCAGCAAGCATCAGCCTTCCCAGCTTGTATCCTCTAGTTCCAAGGGGTCATTCACAAGCTGCAACTATTCCTGATCGAGCAAGAAAATATTAAAATGGAGATACAACAAACTGTCAGTTATATAATGCTGTTGCTGCTAAGAAAACCCTGAGGATTTTTATGCTGTCTCACACATACATAAAGTAGTATGTAAAAACACCCTGGAGTTGCCTCACACCCTCTTACGAGACCTGCATGAAACCAGACCATGGAAGAAAACCCCGCCTTTCGCCGCCAGACACGGGCATGTCAGCAGCAACAGCCAAAGCGCTGCAAGGCTGCTGATGAGCCTGGAAACACCGCATGGGAACACGCCTGCGAATCAGCCCTTGAAAAGGCAACCGCTGTTCTCGCTCCGTGCCCAGCGGAGATGAGATCTCATCACCAGCAGAGATCTGGGTCACCACTGGGAAGCTGGAGTTATCCCAGCACCATTTTCTAGGTAATGCTCCTGAAAGGGGCAACAAGTCTGCGGCAAGGTTGCATCCGACGAGATTCTGGGTGCAAAACTCTAACAACCAGGAGCGGTTCCTTTGTGCCCCGGTGATACCATCTGACTGAACGAAAAACTCTCGCGCATGATGTCTTGTATGCAGACTGCTTTGCTGAGAGAGTTTGTTGTAAATGCAAGGTTCAGATTGCGGTGGCTCAAGAGTGGGCAAATGCATCTCGATTGCCAAAGTCTGCCTCCTAAAAGCCATGCTCAAAAGTGCATGTTTGACTACCCTGTACTTCAAAAATGGAAACCCAAACATGGGGGAGGAGAAAGCAAGAGAGACAATCAAGCACCTATTCTAAACCTACAACGTTTGTGAAAAATAAATGTGCTGAATCTCCATGCAATCCAGAAGCTGATACCTATCCAGGCGCAGCTCTGAAAACCGAACCAGCTTTCCAATCTTTGCTAACCAAAGCTTTTGCAATCTTCCTGTATGCCATTTCCTTGTTTACATCTCATGATACTGGAGTTCAACTTTTGGAGAAACACAAATGGTGAACCTAAGAAGTGAAATGTGGTATTATTTACAGAATAAGAGAGCATGCCGTTCGCAAGAATTCATAGCTGCACACATCCCAATCCTGTTCCTCCGTCCAACACCCACTCCTGAAATCCTGTACCAACCAGATTAGCCAATGTGCACATGCTTGCGCTCTTGTGGAAACAATAGTCTCTTTCAGTCCATACAATCTTCTGAAGAACCAGGCGAAAACGTCATGGGAAAAGTTAGGAAGTATCTGCAGAAAACAGTCCACAAGATGAAAGGCAGAACGAGCCTTTTAACTTGCACAAAGTACATAATATGGAGGAGAAACACACAGCTTTGTTACCTAGCTCCTCTTCTAAAGGGCTTTTTTTTTTTTTTTTTTTTTTTTTTTTTTTCCCCCCTCCCCCTGGGATGGAAAAGGGGGTTGAAACAACTTCAGAAAATAAAACACTGCAGTGGTGGAACGGCTCCCTTACAAACAAGAGCGCTGGAGGCGAAACCCAGCTCGGGGAGCTGCGCGGCAGCTCGGGGAGCCGGTACCCGCTCCCCTGGCAGGCAGGGATCTCCCGCTGACGGCGGGGATCTTGGCAGGCAGGCTGGGTCCTCCTGCCCCCAGAGCACAGCGCTCCTCCCTTCGCTCCCCTCCCAAACGACGCTCTGCTGCTGTGGAGGGCACAGCAATATTTTTTAATTAATCCAGCACAAGGTTGAAGCCGCCTCAGGGTTAAGCTAAACATTTTCTG